AAAAGAAAACTTAAGTTGCTGATTTTGGCTTCGGCTTTTTCCTTTCTTCGTCTTTACTTTGTCTGTTCTCCATTTTCTTCTTGACCTAGAGTTTCACAGCTACTCCTCTGTTATAGAAACAAACAGAGAACGTGACTAGTCCCAATCTCTCTTTTAATTTTGTTAAATACGGTAAGATTATTAACTACCAATTTGTAATGATTTCGTTGATTTGATTGATTGTCGGTTATAATATCAGTTTAACTAATATCAGTTACACGTTCTTGAATGATAGTTGTTTCCTTGTGGAAAAAAAAAACATATGCATAGTATTTTCTTTAACTTGTATAACATTTACGCAGTATATAATAGTTTTACTTTCTGTTTAATGTTAGGTAAATGTATACTGTATATATGTTCGTTGATGTTTCTTTTTCTTATGACGTTAATTCTTTATTATTTCACTTGTCTTATTCAACAAAATTTGATAATACTTCACCTTTCGTGAAATTTCTTTGGACAGTAAGTACATAGAATTTTAAAGAATTTGATCTTGACAAGTACAACTCGTATATTAGACACCCATAAAATTTGTTGTAGTTTTATTAGTCATATGAACAGTGTATTTATAATTACATTATTTTTAGTTACGTAATTATTTGTATCATAATGAGAGTTTGCTCGAAATTGCATTAAAAGGTTATTAATGAATCATTGGTTTAACTTTGTTTTCTTTCCTTTTTCTGTGAAAATACTAATGTTCGTTCACATATTTCTTTTGTATGTCAAACCATGGGAAGCAAATATGGATATCTCTCAAAGCAAACTTGAATCAAATTTCAATTGTAAAAATATTTGTTTAGTTGATTCATGTACGACACATACAATATTCAAAGAGAAGAAATATTTCTCTCATTTAAGTATGTGTAAGGCAGATGTTACTACAATTTCTGGTAGTAGTAAGCTAATTGAAAGCTCTGGAAGAGCTACTATAACTCTGCCTAAAGGAACACTACTTATCATAGAGAATGCAATATTCTCCTCCAAGTCCAAGAGGAACTTGTTGAGTTTTAAAGATATCCGACGATATGGATATCATATTGAGACAATAGATGAGAATAATTCTGAATATCTCATCATTACCAAGAATGTCTCTGGCCAAAAGAGGGTTATTGAGAAGTTCTCATCTTTATCTTGTGGCCTGTATTGGACAAGAATTAGTGCAATTGAGGCACATTCTATTGTAACTTAAAAGGTTACTGATTCCAATACTTTTGTACTTTGGCATGATCGATTGGGACACCTTGGATCAATTATGATGAGAAGAATTATAGAAAACTCAAATGGGCATCCATTAAAGAATTTAAAGATTCTTTTAAATAATGAATTTTCTTGCACTTCTTGTTATCAAGGCAAGTTAATTATTAGACCATCACCAACAAAGGTTGGAATTGAGTCTCCTGCATTTTTGGAACGTATACAAGGGGACATATGTGGACCTATTCACCCACCTAGTGGGTCGTTTAGATATTTTATGGTCTTAATAAATGCATCTTCTAGATGGTCTCATGTGTGCCTATTGTCATCTCGCAACCTAGCGTTTGCAAAATTAATGGCACAAATAATTCGATTACGGGCGCAATTCCCCGATAATCCAATTAAGTCTATTAGACTTGATAATGCTGATGAGTTTTCATCCCAAGCATTTAATGATTATTGCTTATCAATTGGGATAAAAGTGAAACATTCTGTAGCTCATGTTCACACTCTAAATGGACTTGCAGAGTCTTTAATTAAACGTCTGCAATTGATAGCAAGACTGTTACTCATGAAAACGAGGTTGCCCACTTCTGTTTGGGGTCACGCCATTTTACATGCATCAACGCTAGTTCGCCTCAGACCGACAAATTATCATAAATATTCCCCGTTGCAATTAGTTTTGGGTCATGAACCTAATATATTCCATTTAAGCATTTTTGGATGCGCAGTATATGTGTCTGTAGCACCGCCATATCGCACCAAAATGGGTCCCCAAATAAGGTTAGGAATATATGTTGGGTTTGAATCGCCCTCCATTATTCGCTACCTCGAAATATGAACGGGGGATTTGTTTACTGCACGATTTGCAGACTGTCGATTCGATGAGACACTTTTCCTAAAATTAGGGGGAGAAGTTGGTGAAACCAAACGACAAATTTTGTGGAAAAATCCATCATTATCTCATCTTGATCGTGCCTCTATTTGTGAAAAAGAGGTGCAAAAGATTATTCATTTTCAAAAAATAGCAAATCAAATGCCAGATGCATTTACGGATCTGAAAAGGATAACAAAATCACATATCCCTGTAGAGAATATTCCAATCCGTATTGATGTCCCTATTGGACAATCTTCTAGTGTCATAGCTAATG